ACCAAAGTTCTAGATTGCCTTGTGTATTCCTCATGTTGTCCTCATGTAGTCCTCATGTTTATGACTTTATCACTTTCTCATCTATATGAGTAAAGTGTATATAAGAGACTGCTTTCCTACTATCTCTCCTTAGAGCTCTTAAGTTCCTTTCCTTCACACTAGTACTAGTCCTCCTCAAGTATAGAGCTCTAGAGTACTGGCTCTAACTCTTTACTAGCTCTAATAGTCCTTTGTCTTTGTATAAAGAGTTCCTAGCTAGTTATGTAAATAAGTAGTAGTCTTTTTCTTTTTATCTCTTTAGGTTTTCTCCTAGTCTTTTCCTTATCTACTTCTTACTCTGAACACTATACTCTTTCCTGATCCCCTCTCTATACAAGCATTCCAAATGACTTGTCTTTGGTTGAGGTTATTAAGTAATACTGTACTAGAGTATGTGTTTAACCTTAGAGGGAGATAAAGATCTTAAAAGGTTTTGTTACCTTTTCCTAACTGACTTAGTACTTACTCCTTCCTGTCCCCTCTCTCTACTAATGGATTGATCACCCATTAGTAATGATTAGAGGTTTATAATGCTGAGCTGGAGTTCTTACTAAGTAGGACAATAAAGGTGGCCTAGGGATCTGGCCAATCTTTAGACTTGTAACTAATAGAGTTTTGTTCATAAACTACTTGGTTCTAAGTCTTGAGTTAGGCTTTCCAAATTTAGTTACTGTATTTTACAATTCCTAACAAATTCAAGTTAATATGTATAGTGGAAAAGGTATAAAGGATATTATACTTTTTTTAGAGCCTTGATTTCCTCTTTGTCCCCTTCTTTATTAGTATGAAATGCTTTTATAGTAACAGTGTATGAATGTCCTAAAGCTGTAGAGTTTAAGTGTGCTTTGTAAACAACACTTAAGTGTGTTACTACAATATCATCCTTAAGACACATGCTTAAGGACACATCTTTCAAGTCTATTAATTTTTGACTGTCTGTCTTGTGTACAAGATCCATCCCTACTATCACCTACTGCTCCAAAGTATACTTCTTGTATTTTAGTAGTAGTTGGCTATTGGTTTTGCATGCTGCTTCAGAGAGAAGTGTTCTATATATACTTTATTCAGCTTAGAATTATTTACTGAGATAAAAACACACACACTTATTTAGCATATTTTAAAAGTCTGAAGAGTGTTTATAGTTGAAGAAAGAGGAAAGAATGAGTATTGTAAAACAATGCCTAATAGTTATCTTAGTCTAATATTGTATTAAAATAAGTGTGGATCATTTTCTGAGATTACCTATACTGTCAGGGTGCTAGATAGGCACATTCCAGATAAGTGCCAAGCCTAGTAATTAAGTAATAGTAAGCTGAGTTAAAGTTTTAGCATATTATCTGACAAGCATTTTGAATGGATCCAAGGTGTGTTTGTAGACTGAGGCATGCTTACAGACTGAGATGAGTTTACAAAGCTGAGGCACATTGCTACAGAAAAGTACAATAGAATAGACACACATTACAGAGGGTGCTTGTACTTACACAGTCTACAAATAGATGTGTTTCACTCTAAGATGTATGACTAAAACTTGTATTAATAGTATTATCTAAAATATTAATCACATGATTGTCAGCTCTTGCACAATGTAAGAGCTGACAGTACAGCCTTAATAGGAGACAAAGTATTTTATTCCTGACCACAAATTGTTTTACACAATATAATGTTTGTCTAATTAACAATTTGACTGTTTTATATAATATGTTTCTGTTATTCTAATTATGTATCAAACAAGTTGTAGAACATGTATTAGGAAGAGTTGTGTCTAATTGTAAGCACCTGAAGTATATTAAATACTTGTACACTTGTAGGGTGTTTGTGTGCCTCCTTCACCCAACACTTGTTAAGAATGCACCAGACAGTGTCTTGAATGTGAACATCTTCTGAGTGATTTGAAGCACTTTGAAGTTTCACTAGTTGAATGTTGTGAAAGTGTTACTTATAAAGGACAACACAGTCTTTAGGAATTTCTGCAAATGGGTACTGTCTACTAAATATCTATGTTTTCTGAGTCAGAATCTAAAGTATCAAATATGTGGGAGGCATACCTTGTAGATTGTTATTACAAGTAGAAATATGTCTGTCTCCTTTGTTCCATAACTTAATGTACTTTATAATTGTTCTGGTGCAAGCCAACAGAAATTTGTACAAGTGCTCTTTACATTGTGTCAGGAATTGCCCTCAAAGTGAGCTATTCTAAAGTCTACAAGTATAGCTTGTCCACTATGTAAAATTAGGACATTACACTAGGAATTTTCTGATAAGTAAAAGTCTTAATTATTGTGAATAAACATACAGATTGAATGTCATTGTGAATAATAGCTCTGTCATGACTGTGTAAAGTAGTAACAGTAGATGATACATCTAGTGACTGGTACACATAATAAATATTTAACAAGTTAATCCTATAGTCAAATTTACTGTACTCACAACTTGTAAAGGATCAACAAGGTTAGGACATTTAAATAGGACTTTGTCTAAAGCACCATTTACAGTAAGTAGTATGACTATAGTAATCCCAGTTTGATCTTGTATATATCCTAAAGGATTAACTATGTTCTGATGAAAAACCTTAGAGGAAAATAACAATTCAAGCAACAATGTTTCCTTGTAATACAATCTTAGTAGACATTCTACATATTTATAACCAGGCATTACACACCATGGATTTTAGACCTTACTGTTGTTTTAAAGCACAGAAGATTTTCTTTCTTCCATACCTAACACAAATCTTTGTTACAGTACCTTGTACACCACAACTAAGAACCTGTTGTGATTGGGGTGAATTGGAGACATGCCTCATAAGGTCTGGAATGTCTAATTCAATAAGTACTTTTAACCACTCTAATAGTATCTGAGTACAATTTGCTCCTAGAGCTAGAGTAGAAGCTGGACAAATTGAATACATAGTAAGAAGTGTGAGTGAGATGAATTGATACACACTCTAGCTACAGTAATATACTGCATTTTATAAATTCTTGTCAAGTGCATTATGACACTCTAGTGTTACTATATTTACCAATATGTATTTGTGGCACAGTACAACATAAGGTGTATAAAACCTAGCACAGTACAATATAGGTACCTGATATACTAAAACTAGCACACTACTGTATTGATCTGTAGAGAGGCAACCAGGCCTTGAGTGTAATTGTGTGAAATAAGGCAACCAATCAGAAATATGTATGATGCAACCAGCTAGTTACAACCAAATAATAAATTTGAAAGATTTATTACACAGAGAATATACTAAAAAAAGTCAAGTTTAACTATTTGAATGTCCTAGGTAGTATAGAATATTCTGGACTATGTATATATGGATTGGTCTGTAAATAATTACTTGTGTATTTGCACTTTTTTGGGGCAGAATTATGTTTATTTATTTATTGAATTTGTCACACTACAACCAGCTGCCTACATAATGCATGATACCTAGCAACACAACTGCCCAAGAGTTTGCATGATGGTTGCATCCATACAGATCAGTACAGTGTTAGATGCTAGCACAGTACAATAAAGTGCCTAGCATAGCACATCACAGCATTTTATATACTGTGATGAACACATTGTGGTAAGACAAGTTAGATCATAGCTCAGATTGTATCAGGCAAATAGTTGGGGCTTGTACTTCTATGCAGGGTAAGACATTTGTTTCCATTATGATAGGCACTGGGCATCACATATAAGGTACTCTGTAGCCTACTAGCACTTGCAGCACTGTAGCTGCAAATATAGAGGTAACACAAAATTGGGTGTTACAGGTCTAGAAGGACCCGAAGTACAGTAGGATTCTACAGTGTACTGTAATTACACTTACATCAGGAAAAAGGGATCCTGCACCAATAATTCTACACATTCACATACTTCTTCCTGCTCTTCAGCACAAGCAACAATCAATGACTGCACGCCCACAACAATGTCCATGTCTAGCATCAGGAAAAACGCAAAATTATTATAAGATCTTATAACTCTTATAAAGTGTAATATGTTTAATATATAGAATATATAGTAATTATCTGTATTTAACTCTATTATAAAGTAAAAATCAGTCTTATATGTTCTTATAAAGGCTCTATCAGTATTATCAATTAATATAATACGGTAAATATATTTTAATAGTCTTATATGAAGAGTACATATCTTTTAATAGTTATATATAAAGAGTAAAAGTATTATAATAGTATTATATTTGAAGAGAAAGACTTATATCTATTATATAATATAATAATAAGACATTTTCTATACTTATAATCTGTATGAAAGTTTTATAAATGTTTATAATAAGTAGGAATTCTGTTTGTAAGATTACAAGCCTAATAAATATCTCTATTATTATTATAATAATCATTTTTCATAAAAGAACTGTTGATAAATGTGACTCAACTTATGTAATGCTCAAGTATCACATGGGATTTTGTACTTAAACATTTATGACGCATTTACACTCGTCACTCCTTGCCTCTGACTCTCACCATCTCCCATAACCCTCTGCCCTAGGCCTGCCACCATGTCGTCGCTTTTGTTCTCTCTAGTTCAGTCGACTCACTTGTGTCCTCCAGCACACTCTGGCTCTGTGCTTACCTCTCCAATCTGTCGTTGCAATGCCTGCGCTGACCCTTAGATCCTGCAACAATGCCACCCAGCTGACTACACCGTCCCCTCCCAGTTTCAACATAAAGCGTAAGCAGCCAATCCACTTCATAATAACCTGCACAATAGTTGCTCACCCCTTTCCTCCCAACCTTTTGTCCCCCTTTCATCCCTCCCACTCCTCGCTCCACTGCTTGCGTTGCCTTTCCTTCGTTGCCCTCCTTTTTTTACGCTCGCCTTCCTTTTTGCATTTGCATTCGCGCAGCCGCATTGTTGACCAATGCCGATCGACTTCTTGAATAATTACATGCTTTCAGCGTACTTCTTCCCGCTCTGCAGCGCAAGCAACAATCAACGAACACACGATCGCAACGATGTCCATGTGCGACCACTCCCAAGGCACAATCCTCTTTCCGACCCTTCGCACACTGTCCTTCCCCACCCACCATTTCATGCTTGACATCATCCTCGATGGACCCACACCACGTGCATTTACATTCCCCAGTGTCGTCCATGACACCATTTCGAATCACAGAAGCAGTGGCCCACCACTCACCCCTCCTGAGCCGAGTCCGTCCACACCTTCCACTTCACCCTCTCCCTTCGAGCCAGAACGTCCCAGAGATACTCCTTTACAGTCATCCACAACTACTACTCAGTTCACTGCACCTCCGATTGCGAGACGTAGTCAGAGCATGCAACGCGCACGTACACAGTTTCGTCTGCAGCCCAAATCAGCGGCTTTAACGCTCCGGATCTCAACCCTAGTGCACCACTCTTCCTTGCTGCACACCTTCGCGGTGCATCTATCTCTTCTTCTCTTCTCGTATCCGCCCACGCTAACGACCCTCTCCCCCCTAGCAAGTCACCCTCCAACCTGTCTCACAAGCGCAACGTCAACCTCCACAATCCATACAACCTCACGACGCTCACCGTACGCGCACGCAATTCAACTTGCAGGGCCGAGCGACGACCGAAGCGTAGTGACGAAGACTACATCAACCGGCCCAAAAACGCATTCATCCCCTTCCATCGTGAATGCCGTTTTGAAAAAGAAAGAGGTAGAGGCTGTAGCGGCTGCAGAAGGCGATCCTGTCACACGGCGTCAGCGTCAAGCAGACCTGTCCAAGACGATCTCAAATCGATGGTGTTTGCTTTCTGCAGAGGAACGTAAATACTGGGACGATCTTGCGAAGCAGTGGGAGAAGGGCACAAAGAGGTGTGGTCTTGAGCGTAATTAGTTCATTTTCTGTTAATATGTAGTTTTTGCGTGTATTAGCTACAAAACCAATATAATAAATTTGAATTAATATATTTATATTATAATTAATTGAAATATCAGATAAAGCTGGAAATAGACTATAATGTCATTATAATATGCTATTTGACTTATAGAAAATAATAAGTAAAATAACACCTTATCATTTGGGGAAAGCGGTATATTTGCTTATACATCTTATAATATGTATTTATCTTATACCTACATTATAATAACACATAATTCTCATTGCTTTCTGTAAGATTTATTGCTATTATTCAACCTTACTGTATCATTTACTGTAATATCAGCCGAGGGAAAGCGGTATATGACATTTTACATATTATTGGTATTTTACATATTATATACTCTTATAAGATTAAAAATGACTGGTGCCTTTTTCCCGATGCTATGTACAACCACTCCCAAGGCACAATCCCCTCTCCGACACCACACTCACTTTCCTTCCCCACCTACAATTTCATGCTTGACATCACCCTTGACGGGCCCACACTGCATGTATTTATTTTCCCCAGTGCCGTCTATGACACTGTTTCGAATAATGGAAGCAATGGCCAGTGGCCACTGCTCACCCTCCTGAGCTGAGTCCGTCCACATCTTCCACTTCATCCTCTCCCTTCGAGCCATCCCAGAGATACACCTTTATAATCCACAACTACTACTCAGTTCACTGCACCTCCTATTGCTCGTTGTAGTCAGAGCATGCAATGCACGCATACAAACACCTCTTCACCTGCTGCCCAAATCAGCTCGTTCACAGCTCCGGATCTCAACCTCGGTGCACCACTCACACTCGCTGTGTGCGTCCATCTCCTCAATATTAAACAGCAGGAATGTGCATTCATATTCTTCCTTCGTGAATGCTATTTGAAAAAGAACAAGGCAGAGGCCGTGGCAGCTGCAGCTGCACAGGGCGATGCTGTTGCACAGTGTCAGCGTCAAACCAACTTATCCAAATCACTTTGTACTATACTCTAATAGATAACTATGCTCAATAAAACTCTGTACTATATAGTTCAATAGATGACTATGTTCAATAAACCTCTGTGCTATAGTTCAATAGATAACTATGTTCAATAAACTCTGTACTATGGTTCAATAAATGACTATGTTCAATACACTTCTATACTATAGTTCAATAGATAACTATGTTCAATAAACTCTGTACTATGGTTCAATAAATGACTATGTTCAATACACTCCATACTATAGTTCAATAGATAGCTATATTCAATACGACTCTGTACTAATACTTCAATACATATCAATAAATTCCAATGTTACTATATATACTAATAAATAACTATTTCCAATATAACTTTATACTAATATTACATTATATATCAATACATTCCAATGTTATTATATATACCAATACATAACTATGTATAGCTATCACTACTCGAGCAATTTTGTGTTTTCCTGATGTAATAGAGTTTTGTTTATAAACTACTTAGTTCTAAGTCTTAAGTTAGGCTTTTCAAATTTAGTTACTATATTTTACAATTCCTAACATCCAGTCCCTCCTAAGTAATACTTTCTTAAACAGTATTACTATTATTGTAAAATACTTACTTTATAATTGATTAGGTTGAGTTTTAATTTTGGGTAGGATTTGTGTTCTTCCATCCTTCTTTCTCCTTTATTTTGTGTGTCCTTTACTAGTATCTTTTCCTTTAGATACTTTTCCTTTTTATAGTCTGCCTCTTTGTATTTTATATTAAAGTGAATATAATTGCCTTTTTCTTTTATTTCAGCTAATTTTTATAGCTTACTTTTATAGCTAAAAAGTAAGAGCCACACTTGTAAGTATAGTTTTCCTTTTAAAAGTTATAACTAGTTAACTTATTAAAAGGGCTTCTACCTTTACCTTAGTTACTATAATTCTACTTTTAGTGTCAGTCTACAATATAGACTAATGTGTCCTCTACCTCTTAGTTCTTCACTAGCTAGCTCTAGCTTGACTAGTATTCAGACTCTCTAACTGAAATAGTACACTCTAAAGGCTAAATTTAACTGGTAGGAAGTTATTCCCTCTTATTTATAGTTTCTAGTTTAATTACCCTCTTTAGTTTTACTTCTGTTCAGAAGGTATGTGTAGAGCACTTATTATATGTCATTTGTAGAGGAGACATATAATATACTAATACCCTTTTAATTCTTGTATTAGGAGTAATTTTCTGATTTACTCAAATCATATTATTATAATAGTCTAGTACCTTTAGACTTGTTATAAGAATAGTTTAATGTCTTGTTCAGGACATTACTCACTCAGTTAAGAGCTACTATACTATAATACTTTTTATTATAGGAATAGTTTACTGTCTTGTTCAGAACATTTGCTACAATTTCTCTTTGTAGGAATAGTTTATTATTATATTTAGAACATATACTATAATAATCTAGTACCTTTAGATGTATTGTAGGAACAGTTTAGAGTCCTATTCAGGACTTTTCTTCTATTATACCTTTATTCTATCTAGAGTCTGTTATCTCCTTCTAGAGGAGTTATTCCCTTTTTAATAGTTTCCCTTAAGAAGATCTTGTCTTCCTCACTTTTTACTTTTAAAAAGTAAGTACTCATAATTATTTCCTATGTTCTCCTTACCTATAGTTTGTTAACAGCTTCTGCCTGTTCATATCTATCTATGTACTTGTGTCTTATTTCTTTAATAAGAGCTCTTAATATTCTGTCTAGATTCAGAATATTGTTTATATCTTCTTAAGTAATTTGTAGTTGTATCTGTTGTTGTCTTATAAGTTGTTGTTCATCTTTCTATACTGTTCCTCACAATTAGTATGGTCCTCTTCTAATTGTAGTGTTTTTATATAGTATGTACTATAATCTTCTTCAGATTCTTCTACATTCTAAGTACCTTTTATTCTTTTCTTAGGTTACTATCTTTCATAACTGTTTGTTTGTCTCCTTTTTCTCTTTAGTACTGTTAAGGGTTGGTTTTCTGTAGTAGGTTTGTTGTTCAGCTGAATTCTTCCCAACCCTTCCCTAATTTCCTTTGTGCTTGAATCTGAAGCTAGAATACTAAAGTATTCTAAAGAGTCTAATTTCTTTTTCATCTAATCTTTCTAAATTTGTTCTTCTTATAGGATTTTGTCTCTTAAATCCTGTTCCTTAACTAGTATTCTTTTACTTATTAGTAAACCATACTCTAGTCTCTTTGTTAACTAGTTTTCTAAATGTGAAGGCTTTACTACTTTTAGATGATTAATGTAAAATTCTCTGATTAACTTTACTGAATTAGTTAATCCTTCTCTAAATAGTTCTCAAGTATTATCTATGTTTAGATAGTCTAACCATTTGATTAAATATTAATATTTGATCCTCCTTTTCCTACTATCTAGTATGTTTTCTACTGTGTATTCCTATTCCTTGTTTATTAACTCTAGGTCTGGATTAGTATACACTTGTCTTTCTAGATATTCCTTTTCTTTGTATAGTATTAATAATTCTAAGTAGAAAACTGAATGAATGTTTATCCCCTCTAGTAGTTTTAATTTGTAATTTACTACCCTCATTTGTTTTTCTATTTCAAATGGTCCTATATACTTATTTGCCAACTTTTTAGTTAGTACTACTAGATTTAAGTTTTTACTGTTTAGTAAAACTAAATCTCCTTCCTTTAATTCTAGAAGATTTCCTCTGTGTTTGTCAGTATACTTTTTCATTTGTTCCTGTGATTTCTCTATTACTTCTTTAGTATTTGATTGTACTATCTTTATCTCCTCTAGGTATTTATTTGCTTCCTCTACATTTGACATTTTATAATTGAAAGTCATGTTAGAATGCCTTCTATATATTAAGTAAAAAAAGTAAAAAGGTGTATGTTTAGTAGCAGAATGCTACTTATTATTATAAGCAAATTCTGCTGTTAGTATAAACTCTTTCTAATCTTCTTATCTGTAGTTAATATAATACTTTAGATATTGTTCTAATTCCTGATTTACTCTTTCTGTTTACTCATCTGTTTCTGAGTAATAAGTAGTTAATAATACTTGTTTAATACCTAGTTGTACACATATTTGTTTAGTAAAATTACTAGCAAATTGTGGTCCTCTGTCTGTAGTTATTTTCAAAGGTAGTCTATGTTTTAAGAAAACATGTTGTATAAATAAATTTGCTGTTTCTTTAGAATCTATTTCCTTTTTACAAGGAATAAAGATTCTCATCTTTAAAAATCTATCTACAATTATTAGTACTGAATCTTTACCAGTTTGTGTAACTGGTAGTCCTGTTATAAAATCTACTGTTACATGTTCCTAGGGTTCTGTTAGAATTTTTAATAGTTATAATAGTGGTTGTGTTTTTCCTCTCTTGTGTTTTGTCTTTTAATATATTATACAAGTATCTACATATTCTTTTATCTAGTTAGTTATTCCTAACTAGTAATATATTCTCCTAATTAATTCTAAAGTCTTTCTGAGTCCTGAATGTCTAGCTATAACACTATTATAATATTGTTAAATAATTCTGACTTTTTCTTCCTGTTTTTCTTCTCTTAGTAATAGTATTTTGTTACTATTATTAGTTCCTGAGTCTGTTTCTGTAGTTTCTTCTACTATTATTGTTTTAATCTGTATTTCTGACTCTTTGAACATTTCCTAAGGGAGTAATACAATTTCCTAATTATCTTTTTCTTCCAACTCATAGTCAGGTCTTCTAGAGAGTGTATCTGCTCTATTTTTCTTGCCTGCTCTGTATTTTATTTTGAAATTGTATCTGCTTAGTTCTAGTACCCATCTTACTTGTCTCCTATTTAACTACTTTTTGTTTTAAAAGGTTTTCAAATTAGATTAGTTAGTTATTATTCTAATTTGATGTTTAGCTCCTTCCAAATAATGTCTCCAGTTTACTAATACTTTCATAATAACATATAATTCCTTATCTAGTACTACATAATTTCTTTCCTGTTTACTAAAAGTTAAAGAGTAATAAGCTATAGGATGTAATTCTTTATCTTCTTGTTCTTGTAATAGTATTACTGAGTATACAAAATCTGATACATTAGTTTCTATTACAAACTGCTTCTTATGGTTTGGTCTTGCTAATATTGGTACCTTAGCAAATGCTTCTTTTATAGCTTTAAAAGAGGCTTCTTGAGTGTCTCTCTATGTTATAGTCCTTTTCTGTAAAAGTAAACTTGTTAATGGCTTTACTTTTGCAGAATAGTTTTCTACAAATTTCTTGTAGAAATTAAAGAATCCTAATAGTTTCCTAATATCTCTTTTTGTTTAAGGTTTAGACCATTCCTGTATAGCTTTGATCTTGTAAGGATCTACTTTTAGTCTATCTTGATTGACTACAAAACCTAAGTAGTCTAGTTCTTGTTTGTTAAAGAAGTACTTTTCTGGTTTACTATAAAAGTCTACTTTCCTTAACAATTGTAGCACCCTTTTAGTTAGCTTTAATAGCTCTTCTTGTGTCTGAGTATAGATAATAATATTATCTAAGTATATTACTATCTCTTTACCTATTAATTCTTTAAAGAGTTGATTCATAACTCTTTAAAATACTGTTAGTGTATTCATTATTCTAAATTGTATTACTAATAGTTCATATAGTCCTTTATATGTTCTAAAGGCTTGTAAGTATTCTTGTCCTTGTTTTATCCTAATGTTGTTATATTCACTTTTAAGGTTAAGAGTTGTAAACTATTTTACTTCCTTTAAATAGTCTAGTAATATGTGCATTATAAGTATAGGAAATGGATCAGGTTCTACTATCTGATTCAGTTTTCTATAGTCTATAACTATTCTTGCTCCTGAGTCCTTTTTCCCTACAAAGAATACTGGTGGTACAATTTTAGAATGACTTTCTCTAATGTATCCTTTCTTTAAGTTTTCCTGTATAAATTCCTCTACTACTTGTTCTACAGGAGTTAGAGAATATACTAGACACATTTTAAGTAATTCTACTCCTTCCTTTAATTTGATATTTATGTCCCATCTAGAATACTTTAGCAATCTTTCTACTTTATCTTTA